ACGTTTGTTGAGTTTCCTGGGAAGTGATGAAAGGACAGCATTGTAAGTGGGGGATAAGTGGTGGCGTAGACCCCCTCCTCTGTTCAATGACGGCTTCTCGACCCTGGTGTAGATGCTTCCTTGACACCTCTTTCAAACCATCCATCTTCTCTGTCTAAAATGTGCACCTGGTGGTCCTCAAACGAGTGTCCTCTGTCCTTCAGATGTAAGTAGACTGCAGAGTCTTGACCTGAGGAGTTGGCCCTTCTGTGTTGAGCCATGCGTTTGTGTAGTGGTTGTTTAGTCTCCCCAATATACAGGTCTGTGCATTCCTCACTGCATTGGACCGCATACACTAGATTGCTTTTCTTGTGTTTGGGTGTGCGGTCTTTGGGGTGTACCAGCATCTGTCTTAGTGTGTTCTTGGGTTTAAAAAACACAGGGGTGTTGTGTTTGTTGAAAATCCTCCTGAGTTTCTCTGATACTCCAGACACGTATGGAATCACAATGTTGTTGCGTTTGACCTTCTTTTCCTCCTCCCCTGTAGTTTTGTTCTTCTTGGATCTTGTGGCTGTTTTCACAAAGGTCCATTTAGGGTATCCACAGGCTGTAAGTGCCCCCTTCAGGTGGTTCTGTTCCTTCTCTCTGGCTTGGGCGCTTGTTGGTATGTTTTCCGCTCTGTGGTGCAGTGTTCTCATGATCCCTAGCTTGTGCTCCAGTGGGTGGTGTGAATCGAACAGTAGGTATTGGTCTGTGTGTGTGGGTTTTCTGTAAACACCAATCTGCAGGCTCCTGTCCTCTTCAATGTGTACAGCGCAGTCCAGGAAGGCCAAACTGTTGTTGTGAACATCTTCTCATGTGAACTTGATGTTACTGTCCACAGAGTTGATGTGTTCTGTGAAGGCTTGCACTTCCTGGCCTTTGATTTTGACCCAGGTGTCGTCCACATATCTGTACCAGTGGCTCGGTGCTATTCCTCTGAAGGAGTTGAGGGCTTCATTCTCCACTTCTTCCATGTAGATGTTGGCCACAATCGGGGATACCGGTGAGCCCATGGCACAGCCATGCTTCTGTCTGTAGAATCCACCGTTGTACTGGAAATAGGTGGTGTTTAGACAGAGGTCGAGTAATTAGCAATTAAGTAATTAGCAGTCAATTAGTTATTAGAATTTTCAAGCAAAATTACAAACATTTTTTGGTTTCAGCTTCTCAACTGTACTTACCACTGCTTATGAGTTTTCTATCTTCTGTTAACGTAAACTATCTATCCGACCTGAAGACTATATTGACAAATACAAACGAAAAGAATTGATTTTCTACACAATTAAATGAAAGTTCAAGTAAGGATGGCTCGAGCTGATCCACAGGCTCCAGATCAGGGCCAGTTCAGTTGTTTTGATCAATACAGATATAAGCTATTCAAACTGATTTAAACAAAAGTTCACACAGTGGATTGAGAGTGAGTGACCTGCTGAGTTAAATAACAACACTTTCAATTACTCATATGAAAACGATCATATCCTGAATCTGATTATACCCAGGACAAGACTCATACCCCTTTTCCACTGCATGGTACCAGCTCAACTCGCCTCAATTCTTTTCTCCTTTTTTGGTTTTCCATTGGGGAAAAGTTGTACCTGTACCTGCTATTTTTTTCCATCGAGGTTCCAAGCGAGCTGAGTTGAGCTGAGACAATACTAAATGGTGACGTGAAAACACTGCAGAGAGAATCGTCACTATTCACTGCATCATCATTGCGTGCGCCAGACAGAGGCCAGCAACAGAAAGTTTTATATTTAACAATTTTCATACGTTATTTCATCACTAAATCCAGCTCACCGCACTGGTCCGACAGTCACACAGACCACTGCAGCAACAACGGCAGAGGAAAACACATCTGAAAGATTTTCATACCGCTTATCTGTCTGAAATAACAAATATAACAACCTTTCACAGAAGCAAAAGTCACAGCGGGGTAATCGGGCTCCACAGGTCTGGAAACATTAGCAGTAGGCTTAGTCCAGCTGTAAGACACAGGACTGTTGATGGAGACACAGCCATGGCCCTGAGAATGCTACTGGTGGCCCTGAAAGCACAAGGGACATCATCATGTATAGTTTAATGAAACATTTTTATTCAGGTTTCTCTTTATTAAATTAGATCCAGCTACTTAGTTCAGAGTCACATTTAGATGGAGACAGATTTAACATCTCTCTGTCCAGCTCCTCATCCTCCTCCATCACTGGGAGATGAAACAAAAAAATGTTAATTTGTGTATTAAATAGATTAAAAATGTTTAAATTAAATCATTATTTGCATATTTTTGTGAACTGACCTAGAGTGCTACGTGTTGTCACAGAGGCAGCCGATGTAGCGTTGACTGCAGCTGATGTAACAGGTGATGGAGCGGACTCTGTCGTCTGCTGCCTGAGGATGTACTGCTGCAGGTTGTAGATCTTGCTTTTTTGATGCACTTCACTCCTTTGACGAAGGCAGCATAACCATCAACCCTGCTCTCCCAGATCTGCTTCCAGGTGTCCTTGGCCCTGGCTCCAAAGCCAACAATATCGTCACCCTCTGAGGCCACTGGTGGTGCAGGCTTCCTGGAAAAGAGGTAGGCCTACTGCCGTAGGTCCTCATTTTCCTGAAAGCTCCTGGCGTAGTCCCTGGGGGTTGAAGGTCCCGTCTTTCTCCTCCTCTTCTACCTTTTTCATCAGGTAGAGGGCGTAGCCGACATCATTATCCAGGAGCCACCTCAGAAGGTTTTCATACCGCTTATCTGTCTTCACATTCTGAGGAATGTTGAAATGTTTTAACTTAAAAAAGAGAAAGCTGTGTGGATCGCTGGTGTGTGTGTTGCATTGAAGATTACATCACGGCAGTTGTGTGTGGCGTTGCTTTGACGACAAGCTACGTACTATTACTGGGTACTATCTGCAGTGGAAAACGGAGCAGGGCTGAGTAGAGCTGAGTCTATCGATTTGCGCTATGGTAGCATTTTCTGGCAACGCAGCATAGATCGTCAGAACACCGGCAACAGTTCAACGTTTAGTCCTAAAAGACGATGCAACTCCGACTCAGTTTGGGCCTGGAAATTCACAATCACAACCTGTAAGTATGCTTTATTGGTTGTGAATTATATTTAAAATAAACACGGCAATGTAACTTCACAGCCTGTTCAAGTGCGGAGTATTTGTAAACGTTGGCTAACACAGCTAAAGTTATAACTATAATGCTAATATTACACCTGTTCAAATTGTTTGGCCAATTTTTATGTAAAATTGAGTTGAAATATGGTGATTTTTGTGGTGGTTTATGGTAAGATGTGGAACAATGATGCTGTGTGGTTGTGGACTTACACTATCTGTTACAGTCGCAGTCTGAAGCGGCTTTGATTTGGATCACACTACCTTGTTTCTTACGACCCGCCCTTCTCTGCTTCTGATGGGCTAGTAGTCCTTACCTGGGAACTGCACATGTGCAACTCCCAACAAAGATTTTGTTGGGAATAGAATAGAAAACATTAGGAAAATCAAGTGTTGCACAGAGAAAAGTATGTGGTCCAAATATATAGGAATAAATGAAAGACATCAGGTGTAATTACCATCACATATTATTAAATACAAATTGACCCACAATTAAGAGCAAAAAACAAGTTATCTATAAGCAGTTGAGTTTAATGCACTTAAGAGACACCATTATGTTGCAAACTGATTTAAAAGGACTAATGCGTTTCTTAGTTGATGGAAAGGGTTTCAAACTATTACTTCATCTAAAGACAGATTTTTGTGAAACTTCTGAAGTAGTACAATCTTTAGACATTAAGATTTGTTTGTAATTGTCATTCACTCAGGAACTTTCCAAAGCAAGACAGACTATTGAACCGCCATTTGCCTCTGGCAAGCTGTTCCACCATGTGTGTGAATGTTAGTTTCTGTTTTAGCACTTAGGCTCAGTGTACGAATGTGAGTGAATGTAGATGTAGTGTAAAAGTGCTTTGAGTGGTCAAAAAGGCTAGAAAGGCGCTATACAAATACAGAGCATTTACAATAGAAGCATAAGACATGATTTGTTTTATGAACATAAACATTGATCCAAAATATTTAGATTTTATTTACTTTATGCTTAAATGTTTTACCTTGCAGATTTATAGCAGGTATTTGTTTCATAAATCCCATTCAATATATTATGCAAGCCTGTAAACATCCCCACATTAAATTCAAAGTTTGCAAAATCACATATTTTAAGTCAAGTTTGATGAGTCTAGCTCCAATGGCAAAAATAAAAGGAATCTCTTCCGTCCCAATTTCCAAATAAAATACAAAGCCAATGATAAAACCTTCTTGTCCTCGATTTTAGCTTAATGGCCTCAATTCAGATGACAATAATTAATGAGAAAATATTTTAAATAACGATTAAATATTGAATAAAAGTTTTATTAATGTATTTACTTCTGGGACTGAGCTGATCAAATCATGCCACAGACAGAAAGCTGGTCACAAACTGAAGTATTAAAAGTACAAACTGAAGGGTTAAAGTTATTTCAACAAGTCAGGTCTGCCGCAGAAGAAATAAATAGTACTGTGCTCAGTTCCTTCATGTTGAATCCAACATTTGGTGGAAACGGAAACTCTTTTCCAGCAGATCAATCTGTGACCGAAACGCCTGAGCCCCGAAAGCAACCGTGTGTTTACCTCCACAGAAATCTTCTCTGATTAAAACTAAATCAATAACATCATTGCAGCGATTTTAGTTTTATTGTATCCTCACACGTTCCTGCTTACTGGAAAATCACTGTCACATTTAATACAATATATTTTTAGTCATTTTTATAGACAAAATGTGAAGAAAACTCGCCGCGAGTTGTACAAAGTGACGGTGTGTTAGAGATGTTTGACGCCTCTTGGAATTAAATAAATGCGTCCTTGTCGCCAAACATGACCTCAGTCTGAAGAGAAGATCGTTTTCTCAGTAGTACAATAACAATTCCGGTCTAAAACGTTTGTCTAATGTGAATTTTATTGCCAAAATTTGGAAGAGAAAACACAAGTGTCGCCACATTTGAGCCGGGCGGCGAAGCGGCTGTGTGTTGCCTCTCCACGGTTCTCATGTGCTCTATAAGCCCCGCCTCCTCTCCGCTCGGACACCTTCAGACGAACACAGCAGAACTCAGCAGCAGACATGGCAGAAGAAGCTCCAGCAGCGGCTCCGGCCAAAGCCCAGAAGAAGAAGGCGGCTCCCCGTCCCAAGAAGGACGGCCCCACCCTCCCGAAGCTCATCATCAGCGCCGTGGCCGAGTCCAAGGAGCGCAAGGGGGTTTCTCTGGCGGCCATTAAAAAGGTTCTGGCCGCCAAAGGCGTGGATGTGCCGAAAGCAAACAAGCGCATCAACACCGCCGTGACTAAGCTGGTGACCGGAGGAACCCTGGGACAGACTAAAGGGACCGGGGCCTCCGGCTCCTTCAAGCTCGCCAAGGAGCCCAAAGCCGACAAACCTGCGAAGAAGGTGGTGAAGAAGAAAGCTCCCGTTAAAGCCAAGAAGCCCGCAGCCAAGAAAGTTACAGCCGCCAAGAAACCTGCAGCCAAGAAGCCAGCAGCAAAGAAAGTAGCAGCCAAGAAGTCCCCGAAGAAGAAGGCGCCGGCGAAGAAAGCTGTTAAAAAGCCCGTAGCGAAGAGTCCCAAGAAGAAGACTCCCGTTAAAAAGGCCAAACCGGCGAAGAAGCCCGCTGCCAAGAAAGCCCCGGCAAAGAAACCCGCAGCCAAGAAGTCCAAGAAGTGAAGCGGCTCCTAATCCAGCACTCAGTGCGCCAAAGGTTCTTTTAAGAGCCACCACAATTTCCATAAAGAGCGTTTCCTCGTTATTATTACAACGACATATGATTACACTCCCAAGTAACAGCCTACCATATAGGCTAATCTTATAGCCTAAAGTTACTGCAACATGCACAAAACACTGATATAACATACTGTGACAGTATTAATATATATTAATATATCTTATGCTATAATATTTCCTTATTTCAAAGGCCAGCTGTGTTTTATATATTTCTATATTAACACACTGAAATTAGGCATTTCCTATTTTTTTATTGGGAGTGAAATGCTTAACATGGCTACATTGGGTTTAATTTGTACATCAGGAGGTTGTTCTGAAGGGTCAGGCTAAAACCCACAGCGCCTGGAGCTTTTTTTTATCAGTTGTTATACCAGCAAGATGTTATTTGTACGCTAGAGTTTATTAACATCCAATTTAGAAGGAATTCTGTACAGACAGTTAAAATATAGGATGCATTTGGAATTAGAGTATAGAAGTTAATTGATATATATGGATTATAGATTTGATTAAATGATGGTTATGTGGTATTAGCATGATACATGACAACTAAATGTAATAAACCTTCAGTTCTTCAAACACAGCTTTACTGTTTGATATTAAGAGAAACAAACTGCCTTCACTTTCTGTTCGGTTTAAAGTACTAAAGTAAATGTACTAATTTTGCTAGATTATCAGCCTACTGTTACTTTAGTAATTTCAGTAAAATGTTGATACTCATCAACAATCATTGAACAATGGCGCCATCCAGTGGATAAACTCCAGTGTTAATGTTAATGGACCTTTTGAATTTGACTTGAATAAAAATGTATTTGCTTATTATTAGGCTGCAAAAACACAATGAATTGTGGGGTTTAAATATTCAAATATTAAGTGTATGTTTTTACATTTATTTGTGTTAATGAAGAGAGTAGAGCTACATCTTCTAAAATATGACTGCTAATTCTTCAATATAATTGACTGGCCTATAGGCTGTAAAATTGTAATAATAATAAAAATAATTATAATAAACTGCTGTGTGTCTTTATTACCACTAGGTGGTGATATTTGCTCATGTTTTTTGATGTGAATGTATTTCTCTGTCTGTCTAAGTGGTCATACTTATGCTTATGAATGACTAGTGTTCTTAAATATTACTGGCAAATCCTGGAGAGACTGATTATCATGTCTTGTCTCATCTCATGAGCAAAGTAATTTAGGCTACTAAATTTCCTACTTTATTCTGTTAAGAATACTTGAACCTGAGGAAACCTGTGTACAGAATGGGAATATTCTGTTATGAATATGACTTAAACTTTATTATTTATTTCTGTTGTATTTCTGCAGAAACCACCTCCACGAACACAAGTTCACCAAGCTAAATTAAACTTTTTTTTAATTTTAATTGTCTTGTGCTCTGCTGTGCATCCATTCCAATAAAGTGCAGAGAATGAATACTGGGGTCAACTGCATTCTAACAGATGTACCGGACTGAATGATCAACACAAGAGTCAGTACAGTCTTCCAATTTAGTGCTAGATTACTGTATTAGAGAAATCAAGGACAACTTTACATTCTAGTTCTCCTTCTTTATCTGGTTAACTTGTGTATTGTTTTCTGTATATTAAATATGGCACTTTCATTCTTTCATTTGTGGAGCCAACACTCTTTTTCAATTTGACAAACAGATGAACATGTTTTATTTCCTTGGATCTTTCCCCATATTTGATACTACTATAAATTTGATATAGTGTTGTTTTATAAGTTTAATAAATGTTGTGTAGCTTAAGTGACCCCTGCCCCTGCTGTGCATTAAATCTGTATGTTTGTCTGCAGTTCAACATTTAATGATATTGAATCAAGGGTGAAACCTTAATATTATTTGCAATAACATGTAGAGTGAGAAATGAAGTTTGTACGATGTTCAGCTGTGCTGATGTCTCTCAGTGTAGCGTCCTGATGAAAAATTAAAATCTAACTGAGGTCCAAAAACTACAAATTATTATCTACAAATATACATTTAAACTACATTGTTACCATTTGTTAAATAAACAAACAAAAGCAATGTAACAAATAAATGATGCAAACTATACTAGCATGAAACACAGCTTTAATGATAAATTTTTAAAGTTTCTGCAGGCCTAAGATAACAACTAGTTATCAAGTTTGTGGAGAAGTGAAAGACGGCACAGCGTCTAACATACACCTGTACATTTTAAATTCATGGTTTGTTGTGCTCTTTCTCAGGAGTAGGTGTTATGACAATTCATCATGTTTGGGTCCAGGACAGACACCAAATAGTTGATCTCTTTTGAGTCTCCACCTGAAAGGTTTGTGAACCCCTGCTCTTCATGTACTTTACTTTGCCGGTATTGTGGTGCTATCACACCAGTGTGTAATCAGAATCAGAAAGAGCTTTACTGCCGAACATGTTTTACAACGATAAGGAATTTGCTTTAACTTCATTAAAACCTCATATGAGACAAGCTATTAAAGTAACCCTGGACCTGGGTACTTTATTTATGATCCTCATCTTGTGATTGTAAAGTTTCTATTTTTAATTTCTATAATTATTTAGTTTTAGATACTTCGGACCAATTATGAAAAACTTCAGGATGTAACTTCAGTCGCCAAAAGCTTTGAAGATGTAATATTTATAACATGTTATTTCAATCTAAAATAATTTCTTTCAGAGACCGTTAGCCAGCTGCTGTGGATGATTGGTCAGTTTGAATTTTTCTTTTGTCCAATAGCAGCTCCTTTCGGCCTGGACCAATCAGCGCCGACGACGCTCCGGCAGTTCCTTTATAAAGCTGCTGTTCGCAGTCAGGCATTATTCGTCTTTATCTGTGAATACAAAGAGATCAGAGAAGCTCCAATGGCAAGAACCAAGCAGACCGCCCGTAAGTCCACCGGAGGAAAAGCTCCCAGGAAGCAGCTGGCCACCAAGGCTGCCCGCAAGAGCGCCCCGGCCACCGGCGGAGTGAAGAAGCCCCACCGTTACAGGCCCGGTACCGTGGCTCTGAGAGAGATCCGCCGCTACCAGAAGTCCACCGAGCTGCTGATCCGCAAGCTGCCCTTCCAGCGCCTGGTGAGGGAGATCGCTCAGGACTTCAAGACCGACCTGCGCTTCCAGAGCTCCGCCGTCATGGCTCTGCAGGAGGCCAGCGAGGCTTACCTGGTCGGCCTCTTCGAGGACACCAACCTGTGCGCCATCCACGCCAAGAGGGTCACCATCATGCCCAAAGACATCCAGCTGGCCCGACGCATCCGCGGAGAGAGGGCTTAAACTCTCAAACCACCTTTACAACAACACAACGGCTCTTTTAAGAGCCACCTCACTTCACACTACTGAGCTCCTGCTGCTGCTATTGTCAAACAGTCTTCCAAATAATGGCTACAAACTACTGTCACATTCTCTAACTACAATGACTATCCTGTTTAGAACTGCCACTTGTTAGCAGCATTGGGTTATTTAATCTTAGATTTTTAGTGTTTCTGGTGTTGCTAAAGTATTTCACTGTCTCTGCACACACATTGTCCTTTCACAGCAAAGATACAGCTGGATGTGACTGTTTTTCTGTCAACTAGTGCAGTGGAACCTTTTTTGGGGCAGGGCCCCCATGTCAATTATCCATGTCCTGCACCAAGTTATGGTGGAAATGTCTTATCGTATAGGGAAACACAAAATTGAGGTGGCAGGTAATTCAAAATATATAATTATAATAGAATATAATGAAATGAGGCTCTCAGGCAAATATTTTTCTCCTGTAGATCAACATATTCAGTATCATTCAGTACCAGCTATATACAGCTGTTTAAAAGATAATTCTTAAAATATTTTACTACATGCCCTATCCTGCATTACATTAGTGCTTCGCTGGAAGTATCCCATCGACCGACACAGACTTGACAGACACAGAACTGGATGAGACAAGTCAGGGCTTCAGTTTTTAACGTTACATTTTTATAGCCGACTGAAACTACAGTATATGCCCACTTTGGCACAAACTGTCTGTGACTCGCATCACTCACTGGTGTCTGCAACAAAGTTGCTTTCAGGGTAGGTCCGACAGCGGATATCCCTCTTGTGTAACCACTGCAATAACAAGACGTTCACAGTGTATTATAATAATAAATAATCACTTTTCCACAGTAAAAGCGAGAAAGAGAGCGTCAGTGGGACCACGTGGGGAAAAAATTACAAGTAGTTTAAACTTCTGTTGTTGTGAATCTTTAGTGTAAACTCGCCTTAGAATTTCCAACTAAACATACGCCCCCCAAAAGCAGCTCATTGCCCCCCTTTCCAAAATATTGATTCCATCACCCCCGATCGTCCTTAGAACCCCCCCGTTGAGAAACACTAAACTAGAGTCAGTATTCAGTGGGAAATGTAAAGGGCTGCAGCGGCTCACTTCAAAGAAGCGCCGTCATAGAGCCACAGGGCAAGCATGACTTCAACAGGTGGAAGGAGAAGTAGTTCCTCTTTATTCAGCTACTTGTACAATACAGTAAAATCACATTGTTAGCTTATATTGTATAGTTAAAACTTAAACATAGCCTACTTTATTTGTCACATACACATAGCAAAATTCATCCTTTTGATTATAGCCTAATTAAAGAATATGACAGTAGTTTGATCTCATCATTAAATAAAATATGGTATCAGCAATACCAGCCTGGGTATTACTTGGTATAGGAATTAAGTGGTATCGCACGTCATTTAGTTACTAGTGTCAATTTAAGGTAGGTTACATACATGGAATCTGCTTCAGTGTTTAAGTGGAGCCAGGGGAAAAGTTTAAGTAATGCAGCAGAGAATCACTCCAGGTATTTTAAGGTAACCCGGACAGAAGAGAAACGCTGTATACTTTGTATTCATCTAGGCAATGCAAGGACAGGATAAACTCTTTAGATGGAGTGGGCGGCCCTTAAAAGGACCTTTGTGTTTGAGGATCAGCGGGTCAGGATCAGGTTTAGCCTCCGAAGCCGTACAGGGTGCGGCCCTGCCTCTTCAGAGCGTACACCACGTCCATGGCGGTGACGGTCTTCCTCTTGGCGTGCTCGGTGTAGGTGACGGCATCGCGGATCACGTTCTCCAGGAAGACCTTGAGCACCCCGCGGGTCTCCTCATAGATCAGACCGGAGATCCGCTTGACTCCGCCGCGGCGGGCCAGACGGCGGATGGCGGGTTTGGTGATGCCCTGGATGTTATCACGGAGCACTTTGCGGTGACGCTTAGCGCCTCCTTTCCCCAGTCCTTTTCCTCCCTTGCCTCTTCCACTCATGATGCGGGTTGTAGTTTGAACAAACTGATGAATTTGACGGTGAGCATGCGTTATTTACATCTTATCTACGGACGTAATAGAAGACAGAAGGCGCGAGAATCTTTGGGCGGTGCCAAACTCAGCAGCTCCTCCTACATATTTAGCGGCCATCTTTCAGAGAAAACCCTTCCATTAGATTGTTATTAAATAATTATGCCGACTTATTTTAATTATTTTCATGTATTTTATAATAAAAAACAAATCTTGTTAATCTGATCTTTAGTGGTGTAGCAGTAGGCTACTCGTAATGAACTAAGAAGTTGTTTTAAATGTAGGTTAATTATGAAGAATGAATAGGCCTACATAAACTATATATTTGTAAGACTGAAAAATTAAAAGGAAGCCCTACATGTTCTATTTTCAGTTGCGTTGTAATGGTTTATTAATTACCTCAATTAAGGTTAAATTGGAAAAATGTTCACTTGTCTTTACTTTAGGACTACACTAGTTTAATAAGTGAAACATGTCTGTAGGGTTTATAGGTTTGTCTGAGCATCATGTAGTGACATTAGCTTATCTAATGTTTGTATAAATATCAAACTAGATTAATTTATTATTAATCTAGTCCATTAAAATATGTAGGATATAATCCAATTTTGAAGTAGTGATATTATGAAATTCTGTATTTTTTTATGGGACTGATATTCATTCAGCATTAAATACAAGTTCCAGAAGGAAGTGGCTCTTTAATTTGAAGTGTGTGGCTCTTAAAAGAGCCTTTTGGGGGTTGTAGGTCAGCGAGTCTCCAGATTTACTTCTTGGCGGGCTTCTCGGTCTTTTTGGGCAGCAGGACCGCCTGGATGTTGGGCAGCACGCCGCCCTGAGCGATGGTGACTCCGCCCAGCAGCTTGTTGAGCTCCTCGTCGTTGCGGACGGCCAGCTGCAGGTGACGGGGGATGATCCTGGTCTTCTTGTTGTCGCGGGCAGCGTTGCCGGCCAGCTCCAGGATCTCAGCGGTCAGGTACTCCAGCACCGCCGCCAGATAGACGGGGGCCCCGGCGCCGACACGCTCACCGTAGTTACCCTTTCTCAGCAACCTGTGGACACGGCCGACAGGGAACTGGAGCCCGGCACGAGATGATCGGGTCTTGGCCTTTGCTCTGGCCTTACCAGCTCCGGTTTTTCCTCTTCCAGACATTTCTCGTGTTAATTTCTTCGACTACGAAAAAGATATATCCACCAAGCCACCGAAACCGATATTTATACTTCTACTGACCTGCTTCCTGATTGGCCAGAGTGTGCGTACCGATGATCACCCAATCAGAAAAGGGTTCACATCAAGTTTCTGTATTAACCACAAGACTTCCGCTTTACTCGGCATGGGATTTCAAAATAAATTGTAATTGTAGCATTTGCTCCATTAATATAAATATTTATATCTCTAAGTGAAAATCAACTGTCAGAGCCCGCTGATTTTAATTCAGTTGTTCAATATTTAATGTGCTGTGGTTGGATTTATCTTTGTGACGATGTGTCATCACAAAAATGAAAACAATGAATAGAAGAAAAGAATCCTGAAAACATTTAAACAAAAACATTTAATAGAAGTAAAATTATAGCAACAGATCCCCTCACATATTTTTGTTTTCATATATGGGGGCCGACCATGGTGTGATTCCCCTCCGGGGAGATTTATTTGATCACAGTCAGTGAACGAGTGCTTGCACTATTACACAGGTATATTACAGATATAGGTACAGATATATTAATATATATGCCCAAACAAAATCTAAATTCTGTCCTGGATGAACTGGGTAATACAGCAAAAAACTACAAAGCTATATATCAGGTAGTATTCCTATCATAGAACTCTATTACTGTACAGTACCATGAAATATTGAAATATTGTACTCAGTTGAAAAAAACATCTCAAGTACATCTCATGATTATCTATTTGTGCATTTGATGTACAGCCACATGCAAATAAAAACATTTTCTATTTAAAAAAATAGCTTATTGAGGTAGGCACAGATTTAGTTGGAAGGATGTACTCTGGGTGTTTTTTAGTTTTAAATGAGCCAATTGGAATTATCTTTCGTTTGACGATATACATTATATATATCGTTGGTTACGTATTGTAACCCCAGATTCTATGAGTATAGGCGTAGCCCTCTAAAAGATCCGTTGTGTCCGGCTGTTCCGGGAAGAAAACACACGTCCCCCGCGTCCCGTCAATACCTCCGCTGTTTGCGGGGAGGCTCGGCGGGGGGGTTGGACCAGGAGCAAGCTGCTCGCCTGTTCTTGACGGCAGGGCGGCGCTGTGAAGAGGGAGCAGCGGCCGCCGGGGGACCCCGGGGGGCCTCGGCTGGAGCCGGCGGAGTTGCAGCCGCAGCAGTGGCCGCGGGGCGCCTCGGCCTGGGGCGGGAGTCGCGGCGATCACGCCGGGAGCCCTGTGAGCGCCGTGGGTGTTGAGGTGGCGCTCTGCTCCACGCTGTGTGCCGCTTCACCTTGTCCGCCTCGTCCGAAGCTTGCTGCAGGTGGGTGATTGCATCCTGGAGGAGCGGCCCAAACAGCCCATCGGGGCTGATGGGGCCGTCCAGCAACTCCTTCCTGATCTGCTCCGGCAGATCGGACATGTGCAGCCACATGTTGCGTTGCAGCATCGTCATCCACGCCATAATCCGGGACAGGCCGACCGCCGCCGCTGTGGAGAGCAACAAAATGGCGGCCGTGTCTTTCCCAAACTCGCTGGCAAGCTCGGGGGAAAGGGCGTCGGGCTGAGCAGCGACAGATGACATGGACGAGGCCAGCAGCGATATATTATTGATGGCAGCTGCTACCTGGGCGGCACACTGGTGGACGGAGGGCGGAGTCGGCTTCCTCCTGCCAAAAAAAGTGGCTTTAGGCAGCAGATGGCTGCCAGGCTGGGCTCCAGAGGTGGGACAGAGGGAAAACCACGGTCAGTGAGGCCCTCAACCTTAGTGAAGTTTACGTACCTCGCCACCGGCGCCTTCAGCTTCCCAGGCTCGGCCCCCGCTTCGGAGAGAAAAGGCTGAAGCAGTGGGAAAAGGGGCCACACAGGAACTTGTTTGGACGCTTGCTCTGGCTGGTAGATGTCGCCGAGCATGGCGCTAGGAGCAGGTGCAGGAGGCTCAGCAGGCATCGGCACGCCCTTGCGCTCAGCAGCCGTCTTGATTATGTCGGGGAGATCCCGGAAGAGAGCCCCGCAGGACGGCAAGCTGGAAGGCGCAAGTGGAGCAGGAGCTAGCGACGCCGCCTTCTTATCCAACTCCAAGTCAAACTCCAGGTCTTCGAGCAGGAAGAGGGGAGAGCCTGGCGGGGAGCCAGCAATGGAGGGAGCAGAGTCAGAGGACTCAAGCCCTGCCGGCGAAGTCCGCTGTGACGCTAACTGGCTTAACCCAGCTAGCCTTGTCAGCCTCTTCCTCCTGCAGGGCCGAGAAGGCATTGACCCGCCGTCGCTTCTCCACGGGCAGCTGTGCGCAGTAGGGGCACGAGGTCCGGGGAGTCAGAGCCAGGCCAGCGTGCTGAGGACCGAGGCAGGTCTCGCAGCAGGCGTGGAGACCAAACCCCATGATGTAGCCGGCGTGGCAGGACGGGCAGAGGCGGACTCCTTCCGAGCGGCGGACCTCAACGATAGAGCGGTGAGTAGCCATAGGAAAAGCTCTTTAGTCAGGAAATTTGCTCTTTAGACGCTACTCTGCTCTCCGAAATGACTGCTATGCAGCGCCGAAGAAAAAAGGGGAGCAGATCTCTGGTCTCGCCGGTATTATATACCTAAATTGCGGACCTGAGAGAGGCCCGTGCACGGCACATGACCGCGAAAGAAATCTTCAGGACTGCGCATGCGCGCGGGGATGAACCCAATAGCGACAGCTCTTAGAGGGCGAAGCCTATACGAAATAGAAATATATACACACACACACACACAAACACACACACACACACATGCAAAGAGATCACATTTCTCCCATTTTAGCTTCTTTGCATTGGCTTCCAGTAAAATCCAGAATAGAATTTAAAATCATTCTTCTTACCTACAAAGCTCTTAATGGTCAGGCACCATCTTATCTTAAAGAGCTCATAGTACCTTACTACCCCACCAGAGCACTGCGCTCCCAGAATGCAGGGTTACTTGTGGTTCCTAGAGTCTCCAAAAGTAGACTAGGAGCCAGAGCGTTCAGCTATCAAGCTCCTCTCCTGTGGAACCAGGTTCCAGTTTGGGTTCAGGAGGCAGACACCATCTCCACATTTAAGAGTAGGCTTAAGACTTTCCTCTTTGATAAAGCTTATAGTTAGGGCTGGCTCAGGTGAGTCCTGAACCATCCCTTAGTTATGCTGCTATAGGCCTAGACTGCTGGGGGATTTCCCATGATGCACTGAGCTCCTCTCTCCTCTACTTTCTCTGCCTCTGTATGCAACCTTATCCCATTATTGCATGTTACTAACACAACTTCTCCCCTTTCTGGTAGTCTTGTGCTTTCTCGTCCCTCTCCTCTCTCCTCCTATCACTTCCTGCAGGTTTTCTGGCTCTGGAGCTGTGGAGTCTGGATCTGTGGCTGCGAGTCACCTGCTGCCCCTGTGTTCCTGCTCGACACCCTCTGCTGCAACGACTATTGTTGCTAGTCTTATTGTTATTATAATCATCAACATTACGATTGTTACCATTAACACTATTATAAATATCTGTACCATTTTTCATTTAGTCTATAGCAACATTACCTTCACTGTCTGTACCTCTGTGTGTGTATATTGTGTAGGCTGCCTCCCTCCCCTCTCTTTTTCTCTCTATTCCTCTCTCTCTCGCTCTCTCTCTCTCTCTATTCCTCTCTCTCTCTCTCTCTATTCCTCTCTCTATTCCTCTCTCTCTCTCTATTCCTCTCTCTCTCTCTCTCTATTCCTCTCTCTATTCCTCTCTCTCTCTCTATTCCTCTCTCTATTCTCTCTCTCTCTCTCTCTCTCTCTCTCTCTCTCTCTCTCTCTCTCTCTCTCTCACCCCAACCGGTCGAGGCAGATGGCCGCCCACCCTGAGCCATGGTTCTGCTCGAGGTTTCTGCCTCTTAAAAGGAAGTTTTTCCTTGCCTCTGTCCCCTAGTGCTGCTCTTGGTGGGAACTGTTGGGCTTCTGTAAATATCATCACAGAGTACGGTCTAGACCTGCTCTTTTATGAAAAGCGCTGTGAGATAACTGTTGTTGTGATTTGGCGCTATGTAAATAAAATTGAATTGAATTGAACACACACACACACTTTCTTTTGATGATATACCAATACATATTATATATATATATACTTTATATTTTCATTACCTGAAACATTTATTACACATTTTCCTCCCAGAGTCACACTGCGGATGAGATGTCCCACCTGCACAAAGTAGTTATGAATCCACAATAGATGGTGTAATTTATTGTGACCTTACTCTAAAGTCTCAGAGCTGATCACATCTATACAATATAAGCCATACAAGACCTTCTCAGAGGTTGCAATAAATGACACCTCCTACAGGGCTTCAAAACTATTCAGTGTGCAGATAATTCTTTTTTCACAACAAAAAAAAAAGTTTTTCACAACAGAGTAACTTCTCAGTCAATGTCACAATTGTCTCTTAAAGAAATATCAAAATAAAACAGCATATAACATCAACCTTTCATTTTTTATCTTCTACTAATATATGCAAAAAAACCTATAAATACCATTTTAATAGTTTCATTAACAGTTGTTGAATATCATATCAAGTATAGATCACACTATTACCAAAGAACATAGGGAACTGATGGATGAATGAATGAAGAAGTGATTTTATTTTAGTCTGATCCACTTTATTTTATTAACAAAAAGTATTCCTAATGTACAAGCAATAATTTAAAATCATGTTTTGCATTCATGTAAACATCAATATTAAAAGGTTACAAATGTAAAAGTTGTTTTCTATGACTTGAAATAATGTGTTGTAATAATTAGTATAATGATAGAACCAGTGGATAGGAACCTAGTGTCAAAATTTGAAGTATAGTGTTTAGGTATTGTGAGGTAAAAGTGAAAAGAAAAGGCTAAACAAAGAAGTAAGTTGCAGGAGTGAAAAGAGACATGCTGGAAGCTGGGACTGTAATTTCCTGTAGAGCTGGATGGTGCTTCATCTGAATCGGGTTCTGCAATCAGCTCCTCTGGGACCTGTAAAGACAAGATGGGAGTTATTGACAGTACACACAGTTTTTTCCCAACTGCCATAAACATATTGAACTCTGAGATTACCTCTGCATGATAACCTCTCTGGAATGTTACAATAATTATGCTGGCAATGTGAAATACACTGTTTACTAATATGTGCAGCAGTATTAATCTTCCCACTGGCCACTGTGCAGTAATAATCTATGCTCTATGTACATTTAAGATTTTATCTTATTTTATATTTATAATTTTTTTGGCGAATTCTAATCCCCCAAACAAACTCAGAAGTGCTATCAAACACCTAATAACTTTACCCAATTCAGGTACATCGTCGTAGTTAAAGCCCAGCTCCACGTCTTCACCACAGGGTGTTATGCAGAGTTCTGAATGCATGCAGAGAATTGCCTGCAATTATGAGATAACACTCAGATATGCTGACAAAAAGGTGGATGTAAATCTTTGCAGGTAGCCTACAACATCTGTTCCGCCAAATAATGCATCCACCTCTAGGTTAGGCTGATTTATACTCCTGCGTAGGTTGTGTGTGAATAGCCTATGTAGGCTACCCACATAGCCACTTGTGCGTAGGTGTGTCCGTCATTCTGCAATTACACCCCCAAACTCTAGTCGGCAGTAGCGCTACAGCGTCCACTGTGTTGACTTTTGCCGGCCAAGCAGGCTAACTTCCGGTTTAGCGCTCCACTAACGTAAATGAGGGTAAAATTGTAAACGTGTGGCTGGTGTAGCCTTTTCAAATGTTACCGACCGAATGGATCACATTCTGATAGTGAAACGAGTCATTTCGCTCGTGTTGTGACGGTCAAATATATTGATTCACTGTGTCACAGCCGCCGTTTTGGCCGCTAGTAAATGGTACTTCAAAGCACGGGGTACTTCCGGTCGGCTCGGAGGCTACGCAGCCGATCAATCACAGAGCTTCCGGTCCGCGTCGACTCGACGTGTAGTTATATTTTGAAAGAGGTGCACGTCAGGTGACGGCGTAGCCTCTGCGTAGTCCACGGCGTCACCTACACCGTCGATTTGATGCAGAAGTACAAATTACGCTTAGGGTCCTTTCCGGACGCTTTGCTGTGAACACTGATCAAACGCGGTTATCACCTAATTTTTCACTAAATCTCAAGGATTTAATAAATTATTAATGACTCCAAACGTTTTTAAATATGTACTTTGAATCAATCATCCCACTGATGAACCCCACAAAGAATTGTGTATCATTATTAAACAGTCAGGTTACTTGGCGCTGCATGGCGTTACATGGCGCTGCATGGCTCTCCAGGCAGGATGCTGCAGCTGCTCCCCCCTCCAGCAGGAGCTAGCTCAAATAGTGGCATCAGCAGCTACCAGTGGTATTTCCAGTGGCAACTTGACATGCCACAGGTTTTCCCTGAGGTGCCACAACACCTTTTGTCGTTTATGTGGTATTTATGATTGAAATCTAACGTTATGATGCCAGGGCGCCTGCCACTGTTACGCTAGGTTGCCATCGAATTACTGAGAGATGGCGGTCAGTCTGTAACATTATGCAAGCACTAACGTTATACCAGGGTAAAGTTAGAAGAAACAAAATCATTCAATAAATAAACGAGATAAATATGTTAGCAACAGTAGTCGATTATGCAATATATAATATTGTGCATTTATTCATTCAAGAGTCTCGTTTAGTGAGCGCATTGTTTGGTGCAATACAGTTGGTAATACAGTTAACCCAGGTAATTATTGTGTGTGCAGAGTTGTTACTGTTAGCACTATATTTTTAATACTAAATTCATATGTAATATGGTTTTCATCGTAATAGATCAGTCTGTTTAACCTTTCTACCAGCAGGTGGCAGTATTTAAATGAATTTGTGTCTTTGTTATCCAGGTTACCAGTCATGTTTGCATTTAATTGTCATGCGAATTATAAGCATACTTTTGAAATGTTGCAAAGAAGAAAAAGGAGAGAAATTGCGAAAGATGTGCATTTACATCAGCTGGTTTGGAGCGAATAACCCAGGCTACGGCAAGCGTAGTTGCGTCAGTAGTTGATGTTACACATGGCTATAATAAACAAGACATATGGGTTCCAAACCAGAAACAAAACCAGCCGCATGGAACTGAGGGCCATTGATCTTAGAAAAATGGAGAGAGGTCCTCAGAAATGTGTTTCAAGCGGCCAAGCAGCTGCCAGCCATGTCTCCGCAAGTTGTGGGAATATCTGGAGTTTTGCATGCCTGCCAAAAATTGCATCCACCTCCAAATAGCCTAATGCTTTTTAACGCTATAATATCCTTTGTGGGGTTCATCAGTGGTGATAAATGATTTGAAGTATGTATTTTATGAACATTTAGTCGTTAATATTTTATTACACTCAGTAGAAGTAGCATTCATTGAAATATACTTTGAAATATTGTGCATTGTCCCACCTCCTATCTGAACCCTTATGTCCCCACCACTCAACACAAAGTGACACCCTTGCCAACACATAATTAAATGATTCAAACAAACAGGCTGTCAGCGCTGAGAATGTCTTCTTGGGACATCAGGTCGGTGAGACCATATTACATATAAAATGTTCTAGCTGATTGTATGGCCAACTGTATTGCACCAAACAATGCGCTCATTAAACCTGACTCCTGCTGTTCACATGAATAAATGCACAGTATTATATATTGCATAATCACCTGCTGTTGCTAACATATTTCTCTCGTCCAGGTTTATTGATAGATTTTTTTCTCGTCTAACTTTACCCGTTATACCTGGTACAATGTTAGTGTTATGGCAGACTAGGTGAACGGACTCAAGAGGAGACTCAGGGCAGGTTTAAATCCAGGAATTTAAAGTTTATTGAAAAGGGCTGTGAGAGCGTGGCAGAGGGCAGACCAGGGAATAAGAGCCAGCGAGTGGATTTCCAGGCAGGCAGTGATCCTGAGCACAGGGAGACAAGGTAAGTGATCTCACAAGAAACAAACAACAGAATATACGACTTGAGATTTGTAGGCTGCAGCGCAAATGACGATGCGATGAGTGAGATGAAGAACCGTGTTGATATACGTCTCGGGTTACGTATGTAACCCTTGTTCCCCGAGAGCCGAAAGCCAATAGGATTGGAGTAGTTTCATTCATTTCATATTCGAGGGATATTCATATTCATTTTCATTCTTAAACCCTGCCATACTGGACGGCACCTTAGGGATGTAGCACAGCCTAGGGGTGCAGGACAGCCTTGACCTTCCCCGGGGCAAACTGCCACCCTCCTCAGAGAGGTGATAGCTAGGAGAAAGGCCATCTTAAGGGTCAGGTGCTTGACCTCAGCAAACTCCAGGGGTTCGAAGGGGGCCACCGGAAATACACATAAACTGCGAATGGAGCCGTGGCATCTCAAGCTAAATCTGTGGCATTTCAGATTGCCACCGGAAATACCACTGGTATACCACTATTTGAGCTAGCCCCACTTTCGTGTCCCTCCGGTTATATAATAGCATACTGACTAGTTAACTTAGATAGATACTGATTAGTATCTATTTAACATTAAACAGGGACACCGTTACAGTAACATTGCCCATTTGCAAAGTTTAACGTTAACATTATGTCAGCTGAGAGCCGAGCCATTAACTTACTTTACAAATTGACACAGACGCCTTTTTATCAAAGTATCATCACCCTGGTTCTCTAATACGTTTTGGCGCCTCTCTTCTTGCTGACTTCTCTCTAACTCTTTAAACACTGGCCATTTAGCACACACTCCCATAAACTTATCATCGTTAGCACAGCTTGAGGACGCTGGTATCCAAGAGGGTCTAACTGCAGACCTCCACTATGGAGTCGCTTCCGGTGCAGCACAAATCCTTTCATGACTGGCTAGCCTCCAAACTCATAAAGAATTTTTTTTCTTTCACATCTGTCCAATTAGGTGTAGTCCTAAATAATAAACAAATTGAATTTCTGATCAATAATATCATTATTATTACTAAATATTCACAAATGTTGCTTTGTGAACCCCCAAACTCACCCTGACACAGCTCCTCAGATACTTGACTGTCTTGACTTTAACGATGATAGAGGAACATGTCATTTTGGTGGCGGTGATGAACTTCAGACACATGAGTTAAAGGTTTTGAGTGAGTGACGGCCTTTAGCAGGACAAATGAAGTTATGTGGTGACTGCTCCTAATGTTTTTTAGTTTGGGCAGAGGTGGTCAGAGTAGCTGAAAAAACTGCACACAAGTAAAAGTAAAAGTTGTCATCAAATATTGATAGTTGATAGTAAAGAGGCAGGCAGCAAACAAGGGGACAGAGAAAGAGAAGGGCACGAGATGCAACATAGGCCCCCTGCTGGAACCAAACCAGGGACGCTGCAGTTAACCGTGGGAAGTGATTCTCTTCCTTATTCCTGTGATGTCTACAATCTTGTTTTGTGCTTTGCGGTGCAGATAACTGCACTGTTAGAGTGATATGAAGGACATTTAGATGTGCATGCTGTACTCAGGGAAAATGTGTGTCAAATGTTTGCCATTTGTTCTGTCACTGTATGATCTTTGGATGTATCTGTAGAATCAGCGTGATTCCAATTAGTCATGAAGATGTGTGATAGCAGGATATAAAATGGATGGGAGCTTAACTCACTGAGCCTTTTCACCCCTTTTTCATCTTACCTACCACCAGAATAATCAGTGCTCTGTCAACCTCCGACCATGCTGTGTGGCAAGGCCAGCTGGATTGCTGGGCTGCTCTATGCTTGTATTGTGATGTTAGGACCAATGGGACAACCTGTGGACAACAGCGAGGACATGTCAAGTGTCACTCCTCAGATGGAAGCAGGATCAAGTGAGGAGTTAACACCAGCTCCTGCGGCCAACACAGAGAAGAATTCAATATTCGCTCCCAAGGTGAGGGAATGAAGGAAATGTTTCAGTCCAGAATCTAAATTCAGTAATTGCAGTGTTCTACTGGGGGCTGCCACACTGAGCTTGTATATCACAGGTTTGCCTTCAACTGGGGAACTACTATATGAAAATGTTTGTCTGCGTGGTGTAAATGTGTAATTAGAATATTGTTTCTCAGCAGAACAACAGCTTACTTTGCAAAAACAGAAGTTGCAAATGTCCTTTAAAGTATATAAGCAACTAGTTTAATCACTATTATTATTATTATTGTTGTTGTGATTGAAATTATTGTTGTTATTATTATGTCTGTGTGTGTTGCAGCAATATGTGCGTCAAACCCAGTCGTTATCTGCCAGGGAGCAGGAGTTTGTCCTGAAGAGGAAACAAGTAGCTCTGAAGTCACTCAACAGGCAGGGGATCAGTTGTACACTGGTATGCCTGAGGAATCGTTACTCTTAAATACATGTCAGAAGTCAGCTTTCTTTTTCTTTCTTTCTCTCAGTTTTCATATATAATTACTTTGCATATACCGCCATTTCTCTCTGTTTCCTTCCAGGAATCCGTTCCTCACATCGCACTCATCGGGTCAGGTGGGGGACAGAGGGCGGCTGTGGGTCTAATGGGTTCTCTCTATCAGTTGGAAAAGGAAGGTCTGCTAGACACTCTGCTCTACCTGGGAGGAGTTTCTGGCTCTACCTGGTAAACACCTCTATGCACACATACAGATTTATACGTACACTTCTTTGGAAAAGAAATCTGCTTATTCTAACTTGGCCTCTGTATGAGGCCTCTTGGTGGTTCATTTAGGATTATTGGACCTAATAGTTACAGGTAAAGTTGCTGCTTTGAGTTGAAACTTGATTATATTCTCCACCAGCAGCTACTGTGCTGTCATGTACACATGTCCTTAACCCCTTGAATTTTTTTACGATCAAAAAATAAAAAAAATTATTTGTGATTTCATTTGCTTTCAAGCTGATGTTAAATTAAGATTGATAAGAAGATTGTTAATTTGTCTTTAGAACATAGAAAATATATAAATTCAGGTATGTGTAGGTATGATGCAAATTAGCAACAGGCATAAATGAGAAACCAGGGCTTGCAAAAGGTTCGTAGGTTCGTATCAAATATGCACCAACAGGCATTGAGGGAATCCATGTGCTATTTTGGCTTGCAGTCTGTAAGGAAGAGGTATGATGCGACAATCGGCGTCAAGGGGTTAAATTAACCTTCTACTTTATTTCACTACTGGCAACAATTTTGGTATTTTTGGGTAAAAGCTTTTATTAATGTTACTGCTTCCGTGCATCTTTAAAAGTGCAAAAAAACTGACAATGTGATGCTAATAGCTACATTTAATGGAAACGTTATTTCCATACTGCGCATGTCAGGTCATTCTTTACCTTGGAAACAGCACATTGTGGGGAAAAAGAATCTTCACCTACAGCAAATTTTTGTAAATCTGCCACCGTTGAAAGTTGGAGCAACAGCAACAGTCAGTTCCTCTGAGTTGACTTTCTACTGAACTTATTCAAGCAAAAGCCAATACTAATAACCTTGTGTGCACTCTGAAGATAATTATCTTTCATCTTTTGACCTCCCTGCCCTGCCCTTAACCTCCAACCTTAAATGTTACTTTACTGGCATGCTATAATTAAATACATTCTAAGTAAATATTAAATTAAGTTGTGTCTCTCTCTCTCAGGTCCATGTCCTTGCTGTACAGCGACCCACAGTGGAGCACCAACATGGACAGGGCAGTGTCCAGGCTGTCAGGTACTGGGGTTGATCTGGTGGAGGCTCTGGCCTGGTTGGACGAGAGGGCAAAGAAGGAGGACTTCTCTCTCTCTGATATCTGGGGGCTCATGACCTCTGTTGGGATCATGAAACAGGTACAGTACAATTGTACAGAGCAAACTGAAACAAAAGCTGCAGGGCTTACCCAGTAGCTGTATTCACCATCAATATGCTCCCACTAGCTCACATTTTGGAAAACAGCCAAGATACCCTAACATAATTATGCAGATGACACACAGATTTATATAGCAATAAATCCTTAAACACAATAGTAATATTATATAAACAATAAAGTGTAACTATAGTAATTTACACATGTGCACAGTGAGGATAAGAGTGTAAAGTACGAGATCTCTCTGTCTGTCACTGATACAAAGACTCCAGTCTGCAGTGCAGTTCATACTCCTCACTGATAAACAACACATGCAGTGTAACATTAGGCTTCATTATCAAAGATAGTTTTTATACCACATTGAGAACATAATAATTTCTACGTACTCGGTTTCCTCATCTAAACCTTTTGTGGCAGTTTGACCCTCGAAGTCTTTCTGAGGATGGCATAAACGCCTGGAATCCTTACCCCATCTTCAACGCAGTCAACAAAAACTGCCTGTACGACGGCCCTGAAAAATGTATGGAACACACACAACTACACAGATAATCATACACACAACTCTCAAACTGTGAAAAATGTAAAGGACTACAGACTGAACCTGTAGACAAGCACAGAGTTCAGATTCCCTTTGTTAACCAGAGCAGACACTTTAAATTATTTCTTGAAAATCAAGTTTATGACCCTGGAGTGTTTTCTAATATGTACTCTATCGCACTCTGTCTCTCTCTTTGGCTCAGCCAAATGGTTTGAGATGACTCCTCATGAGGCTGGCTTCACAGATCTGGGTCTCTTCATCAACACTTCTCTACTGGGCAGCAGAATCCATGAAGCAGATGCTGAAGGTGGAGGGTCAACGATGGACATGGTCAGGCTGCAAGGTATGTCTTGCTCTTCTATTTGAATTATTGAATTATTTGAAAAATTATAAAAACAAGTAAATGTGTCTACAGTCAGTTTAGAAAGGCCATAGTAGTGCTTCATTTTTAAATTATCTCAAGGTTACAACATTACGATATATTACAACATACAATCATATTTTCCAAGTATCATGTTATCTTTGTGTTTCAAAAACTAACCCTGATTATTTCATGAGAGTTATCATTGCTTGGGCTTGAGACTATATATTTGTAACTGAAAGCCTGCATTACAGACCGGGGTTGTGCAGTTTGAGAGACATGGAAATTTAGCAGACAGGGAGAGTCTAATGAAAAACGTCTAGTTGCAGGAGAAGCGTGAGATCCAGTGTTTACTTGGCAAATGCCAGGGAATAAAAGCTGCATCAGTTTTGACCATATCATTATATCATTATATCTGACCCTCACAGTCCTCCAGATCTAGTCCTCTATATTAGATCTAATAGTCTGTTTTTTCCTCTGACACCGAAGCAAAGTCAGTATCAAAGTTAATCTGGGGATTAGTTTAGTTTAGTAAGAATGGGAAGAAGGTGAAACCACTGGCCTCGCTTTTTCCAAAGGTAACAAAATCCACCTATCTGCATCTCTGAAGCTTACTTATTCCTGGTGTGCCCACCTTGAAAAAGTCCCGCACATATCTCCTGTAAAACCACAGCATTTTTTCAGTTCTGTTTTTGTACAGATGAAACAAATGAGATATAATGTGCTAATTTGTTAGCTTCATAGGTGTTGGTAGGTGGATTTTGTTAGCTTTGGACAGAGCCAGGCTTCCCGCTTCCCCCAGTTTATAGACTTTGTGCTAAGCTTAGCTAACCAACTGCTGGCAGTAGCTTCATTACCCATAGATACTTGTGAGTGGTATCAATCTTTAATCTAAAATTTGGCAAAACATTCTTCTTTAGGCGTCATGAGTCAAAAAGGTTAAGAGGATGGACTCATTTTTCAAGTTTTACCCGTAATCAGTAACATGTGGAAGCTAAAATGTGTTTTCATCAGCGTTAAGTGGCATTTTTACAATCTGCTTTGTCATGCAGGTATCGAGGGCAGTGCTTTCGCAGATGAATACGGTCTGCTAAACTACATGACTGGCTTGCTCAAAGGTAAAAAACTTGATTTGTCAAGTAATGGACAAAGTTGTGGCCGAACATTAAATGTAAATTGGATGTGGTGTTTCTCTGGACAGAAGGTACCAGGTTTATAGAGTAGTAGCTTGTAAAATACACTCTACATAAATACACTAATACATGTTACGTGAATATAGGCATGTATATTTATATTTGTATGTCTCAGTACCACAGCAGGTCAGACGTTTCTGGTATGTCTTGGAATATTACATGCGTGGGTACCGCAGTCTTTTGAAGCTAACAGAGCTGATCAGACGAAACACAGAGGATCCCGCTGTTTTATCTGGGCTGGACAACCTGCAGAAAACACTTAAAGGTACTAATGATAGCAATGATGGTGATACTCATATAAATTTACAAAGGTTTTCAGGGAAATCACAATGTTCACTCAACAACAAAAGCTCTTTCTATTTTCCAGAAAAACTCAACTTAAACCCTATTGCATTACTTGGAAAGAAGAGCCCAGAACAACAAAAGCAGATCATTGAGCAGTGGTTTCAGAAAAAGTTGGCATCCTTAAAGACTTTGGAACAGAGTCTGGATGAAGGACCAATCAAAGACAATGGTCAGTGCCAGGTTCTGTAACTATTGTCTATGCTGCTGAGCTCTGCAACCTGTTGACCAATGCAATTGCTACTGTCCCACAGTATTATTGCAGAGAAAATACTTTCACTAAATGGGGGACCATGCCATTTTTTAAACTTACTTTATAAAGTTGCTATGGCTAACGTGTTAGCAAACCACATTGAACCACAGTACCCTTGAAAGCAGGACCCTTTTGGATGCTTGGGGACAATGGAACAAGCTTTAAAATTTACATTTCTGTCACCTTATACAGTTGTAATGGCTAACAATGGTCTATTTACATGTCCAACAGACATAGAGTAACATCATCATTCATTTGAAATCATGTCTCTGTCAACCTGGCAATTCTTAGCTCAATTCTTAACTCCTGATGATATAATCTGTTTTTTTAGCTGCTAGATGCTTCACTATGTTTGTCAGCTAGGTGCTAATTTCAGTCTGTGTACTGTTGGGTGCTGGGCAGGTAGTGTACTGTGGGTTTTACATACAGCTGCATGCTGCTGCTTGAAACAAAGTTTATGAGAGTGGTGACAGTAAACCAAAACATAAAAATTTTGGGCAGTAAATCCAAATCACTGAAATGAAGCTAAAACTCTCAACAGATCTGCAAAGGTGGTGATAATACTCATTGGCTTTGTCACTGTGTGACCACTTCCACATTATACAGTCATTTGATCTGTGGTGAATCTGCGCATGTGCAACACCAAACAAAGAGGTGCTGCAGCAATGTGATGTATGACATAAATAAGGTGTTTTTTTAAGTAAACCATGTAAACCTATTCGTGTACTCCCCCTAAATATATTTATAAATCCGAAAATGAGGATAATATGACCACTTTAAAGATCCCACAGCCACGCCAGCAGCACTGTGAGGCTTTGAGGAAAATGCTAACATCAGCATGCTCACAATAGCAATGGTCATCATGCTGAGGTTAAGCAGGTGCTGCAACACATTCTCACTCCCAACTCGTCACATATTGACGCTTGGTCAAGACCCCTTGCCATCGCTTTTTAATGCCCTGGATATTGCCATGTTCAGCATCTTAGTTTTGCAAGGTACCATGCTAAAATTTGCTAATTAGCACTGAACATAAAATTCAGCATATGTCGATGGGACTGCCAAAATATTGGACCCTTAAAGATTTGACCTGTTGATTGAGCAAGGTTAAAGGTGAAGCTAGAAGTCAGGTGATCACTGAAGTAATTAGGATACATTCTCTGCAACCCATAAATGTCTTTACAAAATGATGTGCCAATCTATCAAGTAGACGATGAGATATTTTGCAGGATAAGTGAAAATTTTTATCTGTTTGCACTACAGGAAAAGTCAGGGGATCCTGAATGTACACAATGTCATGGCAATTCATCTAATAGCTGTTGGGAGATTTCAATCTGGACCAGAGTGGTGGACTAGCTGACATTGCCATCTACTAGCATGACCCCAGCATGGCTAAAAATATTGATTAATGCAGCTTTAACTGGCATAATGAAGTTTATTATATGTATTCGATTCTAAAATATTTAGATTTTGCAACTTAATGGGTTTGTGGTACATTGGATTGGATTTTGTTGCAAAGCACTAGTCAACATCATTTTTCAACAATATTCTTAGCTTTAACCTAAACATGATGCAAGACACTCCTACAATACTTTCTACTGGATATCAGAACTACAGGAGACTTTTATTTTAAGTGCCTTAAAATAAAACATCCTCAACACACTAGTCAGGTCTCTGTGGTATTCATTCTAATTGAATGATTAAATCTGCACAACACTCCACAAACATGACTCCAAATGAATGCTTATGTTGGATTAATAGGCAGATGTTTTCTCGCAAGTTCCCCATAGCAGTTGTATATGGTGATAATAAGTCAGTGTTGAGTTTACAGCTTATTTTGCTTCATTTGGGCATGCTGTGTTTCCCCAGTCTCTTTGATGATCCAGAAAGTCTTCACTCTGATTGTGAAATGGGAATGGGGAACAACCAAAAACCTCCTCTACCAATACCCAGGTAAATCACTGTCATTGCGCTTCATACCTAGTACATGTATCACATTTACAGTCGTGTGATTTGCCAGATGCATGGTGAAAAACAACTCAATGAGTACAAATAGTTGCTGTATTTTCATTTGTGTTGCTGAAAAGATGCTGCGGTGCCGTCTTGCATCACACTTAAGGAGAACCTGCAGCTGATAGATGCTGTTGTGATGCTCAACGTCCCCTACCCTCCCTTCCTGGGAGACAAGAGAGACGTAGACCTCATTATTGCGCCGGACTACGGGGGTGATGACACATTCAAGGTGAGGCGTTTGTAAAGTGAGCGTCTATGGTAATTGATGTGTGTTATATATCAATGGAGACCCAGGCATGTGTTAAAAATGATGAAATAAATGATCTGAAACTGTTCTCTGCACAGACTCTGACTCTTGCCAGAGACTACGCAGCCGCGGTGAAGAAGCCTTTCCCAGAGATAGACGACAAAATCCTGGAGGAGAGAGACTGGCCAAAGGACTGCTACGTGTTCGAGGGAAAAGGGAAGGAGCCCTCAATCATTTACATGCCGCTGTTCAACAGAAAAAACTGCAAAGGTCTGTTACACCCACATCACAAAACGCTCATGTCATATACAGACATGGACAAAATTGTTGCTACCCTTCCATTAAAGAAAGAAAAACCCACAATGGTCCCTGAAATAACTTGAAACTGACAAAAGCAATATTAAACTAAAATGTACTGAAAATTGACTGATGAAAATCAGACATTGCTTTTGAGTTGTGGTTACGAGGGACTGTAGCCAACCTCCCTGGACATGGACGCAAGAGGAAAACTGGTAACCATTCGTATTTTCCGTCTCTTCGATTTGTCATCAAAGAGTCCAGAACAACTTTCACAGACATTAGAGGTGAACTCCAAGGTACACCAGTGTCAGATTGCACCATCTGTCACTGTTTGAGCCAAAGTGGATTTAATGGAAGACGACCGAGGAGGACACCACTGTTGAAAGCAAATCATAAGAAAGACTGACTGGAATTTTCCAAAATGCATATTGACAAGTCACAAAGCTTCTGGGAGAATGTCCTCTATGTACGCAGACGCAAAAATGAAGCATACAAAGAAAAGAACACTGTACCTACTGTGAAGCATGGAGGAGGCTCGGTTATGTTTTGGGGCTGCTTCTGGTGCTTCTGGTGCAGGGTGTCTTGAATCTGTAACAGGTACTATAAAATCTCAAGACTATCAAGGCTTTTTGGAGCGAAATGTGCTACCCAGTGTCAGGAAGCTTGGTCTTTCGCAAAACTAATATGAAGTAATGAGAATATCTCCACCCCTCAAAAGATGTCTTTAGCAGCTCTACCATTTCTGCGTCCTCATGAACTGGCCCTAAAGTCAAAGGTGAGTTTGGAAACACAAATTGTTACGCAAACACACACAAAAAGGGATGTTTGATTTATTTTGCAAATGACGTGATGGATTTGTGGTACATTGGATTGGATTTTGTTGCAAAATACTAGTCAATAAGTAACTGTAATGTGATTACTGAAGTTATCAACAGTAATGCGTTACATTACTGCGTTACAGAAAAAAAAGTAAGTTGATTACAGTGACGCGTTACTTTGTTCCTTTGCAACGCGTTTACCTCCAACACTGGTCGCAGGTCATGGGTCCTCCAACAGGATAATGACCCAAAATACAGCTAAAAACACCCAAGAAAAGCCAAGAGCAGAACACTGGACTATTCTGAAGTGGCCTTCTATGAGCCCTGATATAAATCCTATTCTGGGAAAGGAGCTGAAACATGCAGTCTGGAGAAGGCACCAACCTGAAACAGCTGGAGCAGTTTGCTTATGAGGAGTGGGCCAAAATACCTGTTGACAAGTGCAGATTGCAGTGACCGCCTCAAAAGGTTGTGCAACAAAACATTAGGTTGTTTTTGAAATGATTCTGTTAAACCACAATTATTCATTTTCAGTACATTTAATTTATTATTACCTTTGTCAGTTTCAAGTTATTTCAGGGACCATTGTGGTTTTTTCTTGCTTTAACGGAAGGGTAACAACAATTTTGTCCACATCTGTATGTTCATGATCATCAATGGTTAAATTCTGGTCCAGATGCGGAGGAGTTCAAAGCAAAGACGGAGGAGTTCTCCACCTTCCACCTTCCGTTCAGCCAGGAGAAGACTGAGTCCCTGTTGGAGATAGCGAAAGCCAACATAAAGAACAACAAGGAAACTCTGCTGAGGGAGATTAACAAGGCTGTCCTCCGCCGACGCAGCAAGAGGTAGGATGGTGTGAGTGTGTGTGTGGAGGGTGGACGGACAGATGGATAAGTGTGTAGACTCACATTTTTTTATGAATGAGCAAAACTGAATAAATGAACTAACAATGTAATTTGTAATTTCTTTCTCACCCATTGTTTTTTCTTCTCCTTCTTATCCGTGCTTCTTCTTCTTCTCATTCCTCCTCTCATCATTTCCTTTTTTCTACATCTCCTTATTCTCCGCCTTCCTTCCTTTCTTCCTTCCCCTTATTCTTTCCTGTCTCCCTTCCTCTCTCCCTTCTTCTCAGGTCTTCAGCAGAATCTGACTTCTAAACTTCATAGAATCAGCGTCACACAATCTCGAGAAATCTATCAGAGAAAAACTGTATATTTACAATTGTTTGTATTTTATTTCTCCACTAATCAAACACTATGTTAACTTGTTACATCGTTAATCAGACTTGTTTGGTTTGAATTTGGATGTAGTACCTTAAATGAAACACTAGAGGTCTGTCTACCTCCACCATGTTTTAATTGCATCAGTAAGTGTTCCTGCATTGCTTCCATTGCTGAAGTGGCTATTTATGGTTCTCCATATTACAACCATGTTCCCGCTCATTTTAGGAAATTGTAATTCATTTGATTTAGAAGTGCTGAACTCAGAATAGCAATCACATGTTTTAAATGATGTTTTTAATCTAATAAAATGGTTCTCTAGAGTTAAGACTGTTCTGGATTGAATGTAATGAATGAAATGTTACTCTTACTGAAACCGTAACACTGATTGTAACGTAATAGAAAACCACTGGCTGCTCTTTAACAAACTAACTACAGTAAGTATTCATATTTTATTTTTGCCTGGAAACAAAATCTGAATCTGCTTGCACTAAGTGGTGCGAACATAAAAGGTTTATAGTTCTATAAATACTTCTTTAAGAGTAATAGTTTCATTCATTTTGGGATATATGCTTATTTGTTGGAGTCAGCTGATTTATTTTTATTTTTCAGTTTAAAGGAGGGGAAATATGCTTAAATTATCACAGCACAAATATGCTTCATTTATTACAGCAAAACAGCGAAAGCCTTTAAGTTCAACTCTGGTAACTGTAGACCATCTGTGGTCCATGTTTGGATTAACACAGGCCCTCAGGCCAGCCATTAGCAATTATGGACAAGGGGACAACATTTTTCAAACTGGGCCCCTCATCGACACCCACTCCAGCACCACCTCCACACACCCACCCTTAGTTCTAATACAAACACAGGCAATTTCAAAGAAGCTTTTGGCCATTAGCCTTATAGTGACGCAGATGGAGTCCCTAACAACCATTTCCACATGCAGTGTTATAGACTCATCCAGGCAATGCTCGCATACATATTCAATTACTCAGTTTGATTATAAAGCACAAAAGGTCAATGCAGTTTTTTTTAATCTTTCAAAATGTACTGTGATGGTTATGTTCCTCCTAACTTAAAACAAGACAAGGAGAGAAAAAAGCCATTCGATGCTTGAGCGATTAGAGAAAAGTCAAATCACACATTGAAGAAATTACTGCAAAGCATTAAATCACAAAATCAAATTATGAGTGACCATATAAACATACTTCATCTGTCAAATACAATCTTGAGCGCTAGATTAATCAAAGTATTGGTCAAATTGTGCACAAAACTGATATACTGTATAGAGTATATGGCATATATTATGTATAGCTTATTATATTTTAACTGTATTTGAAGCTGTATCCTATGACCTGTGATGTGCTGCTGACTAATGTTTACTGTAGGTCAGTTTTCTTGAGGCTGTTATAGGGGGAACTTGTGGGTGTTAGTAATCTTTATTAATAAGGGAAACACAAAATTCAAGTGGCAGGTGAGGATTATATATGAGTATAATAGAACATAATGCAGTAAAGCTCTCAGGCAGTCTGTGTTGCTTTTATATATGTTTCTCCTGTAGATAAACCTTTACCAGGTAGTTTATGTGTCATTATACAACACAAGGTTGTAGAAATAAACAAAAGTTTGTAGTCCCTTCATGCTACACACAGAATTTAACAGATTAATAGATTAATAGATTCATATTTGAATACACATTAAACGTGTGTAAATATATTTTCTCATGTAATATAATCTGTGCTGAGTCAGCACACATGTATGATTTAGTCTTCCCTCCTCTTTTGCCTTTGTTTGGGGAAGTAACCTCTTTAAATATGTCTCTGGCACCTTTTCTCTCCTCAATGATAAATTAATTAATTTTAATTCAGTGATAAACTCCTGGACTTTAATAGCTCCTGTGTTTAATATGCTCATGTTCAAAACTTTCTGCACATTCAGAATCTCTCCAACATATCTGTGATCTCTGACATGTCCAGAAGAAAAAGTCTTAATATTACGAGAATGACATCATCGATTATGAGAATTCATTATTTTTTTAAACAGTCTACCTGCCCTACAATCTGCTGTGCTTAAGCCTGTGCTGTTGCTCTGCTGATTTCGTCTGCAGACACAGAACCATTTGGGACTGTAGGCCTGCTACTAGATGAGAGGAGGTGGCCAGGGCTGGACTGGTAATCTGGCATACCGGGCAAATGCCTGGTGGGCCGCCTCGGCCAAAATGCCAGGGCCGATTTTTTGTCCCAGTCCAGCTCTGGAGGTGGATAAATTAAACTTATTGAAAACACTTCTGATCAGGCAGAAATCTCACCACAAATGTTCACTTCAGCACCTCAGATTAAATGCAGCTCATAGTCCCCAACAGAGCAAATACGTCTCAGATTTTAGATGTTTATTTTGCAAAACTCAATTATTTAGACACCGGTGTCAGCTGGGTGTAGTTACTCGTCCCAACCTGTTATTATCAGTTATGTATTAGTTTTTCACTGCGTGAGATAATTGATGTGAGAGCGTGTGAAAATTGTCAAAAGACTTCTGGTGTTACATTACTTAAAGGTTAAGCAAGCTAAAGCTTTGCCTGTCTGCCTCATTGTTAGCTCCTGTCATGTCACCTTTGCCTGTCATACAGGCTACATGGTACTTCTTAACACTTTTTTGGCCAGAAATTTTGCCAATATCTCCCTATGATTCTATTTTTCTCAGTGTGTTCTGACATTTCTTTTTTTGGGCCCCTGACAGTCTTCAGTGTTCACTTAAAGCGACTCCCTTTCCATTAGTGGCTCCTGCACATCTGAATGGCCAAATGTTTCGACCGTGCCATTTTCACAACAGCGAGGGGTGGGTTATCAGATGACAAGTATGAAATATGATAACTATAACGATAAGAATACATTTATTTATCCCGTAAATGCATCTAAAAAGCTTTGTTATTCATATAAAACAGTAAGTAGGCCTAAACTGTTGTACTTGATTCCATTTAATGGTCACCCATAGACCTTTGCATGGCCCTCCCTGTGCCTTGGGCCGGGGTCATCTGTACCCTTTGACCCACCCTGACAGCGGGCCTTCCTCTGAGCCAGGAACATTGAAGTAACAGAGCCTGAACATGTCTGTGTGAAATGCCACAGCCTGCATGCTAATGTTCTTGCATTTATTTGCAGGATTTCTGTATGAAAGCGGCTGTGTTTGCGGGTTATGCTCGCTCAGTTCAAGCGAGCTCATGAGCACACACCTGGTTGCAATCTTAAAACTGCACCGCTAGTGGCTGCTGAAAACTACATATTACACCTTTAGATAACCTTTTGTAGGTGACTTACATTAGTTTCATCACGTGACTTCCATAATATCCCTATTTTAACCCAAACCACAATCTTCTCCTAAACCGAACCAAGTAGCCTAGTTTTGTTGCCTAAACCTAAACAAACCACCACCATTTCACAACTTTTACCACATGTTAAATGTCATGTGACTTAGATCACGTGACTTATGTAATGTACTCATGGTCTGGTAGGCCTATATTATTGGTCTGTCTATTTTTTCCAAAGTAAGGTCCCATCGTGGTCCATCGGAAGTGGAGGGACTTTGTCTCTTCCATGCCTGTATGTGTCATAGTAACTCTCAGTTTGCTATTTCTTGTGATGTATAACCAATCAGATAGTGCTGTGGGTGGGACATTGGGCTAGACTACACAATGGTGACTACAGTCAGAGAGAGGTGGCTTCATCAGAACCAAACTAGCACATTTTAAAATTTTGTTTTGTTAGATGCAAACAGATTTAAAAAATAACGATTCTGATAACTATAAAAATGCTTTATTCAGAGCCGATCGACCCCTACTTTTCATGTTGGTTTTTATTTTAATAGAGCATTCAGTGCAATTCTGCACATATGTGTGGACTGAAAATAGCATAAAGCTCTTAACAAAGTAAAACTCATTTATCTGGTGGGTGAAGTAATGCTCTACTTGAGGGGGCACAAATTGTAAGTAATGGTAAACGGACTGGCTTCTTCCTGTCCAGTCTTATTACTCCATGCTCCACGTATTTTGGGGGAGTAGGAGGGAGGCCTGAAGGGAGGGGATGAGATTTTTTCAGTTGGATACTTTCAAAATCTAGCTGTGTCTTGCATGTTTCTCCAATGTTGCCAGCCCTGGCTTTAACGTGTGTATTTTCACACATGAAGACTCCTGGCTGATGTCATGTTTTTTGACTTGTAAAGTGAGCAGAGACTCTGTGATGTGCGGTTTAAATAAACTGAAGATGAAGTTAATGCTGAGGTACTGTTGTCATTTTCTGATAAGTATGATTCACTTCTTTACTTGATGGGATAGAAAAATAGTAGCTAATATAGTAGTATTCATTAATTATTTCTTACATGCCATTTAGGAAGGAATTAATTGTTCCATGTCTAAATCTTTATCTGTTCATTATTCAGCATCTACTAGTTAGCTGTTCATCCGGTTATTCTTGATTTGATCCTTTGATTTGTTAATTGAGTCGTTCCTACTCAGGATGCTGTGGACCAGTTATGTTCTTTATTATCTCATTTCCCTCCAACAAGCCCTCTCCAGCCTTCTCTTTACTATTCCTGCAGCCCAGTCTGGCACATGAATGATGTACCAGCTGTAACAGATAGAGATGCTCTACTATCATGTTATCACCACTGGTATTAAAGGCCACTTTTCTCCCTGCCTCTCCACTCCCCGCAGCATCATCACCGTCACAGAGCTCCACACAGTTGTCTTTGTCTCTATCTTTTCTGTCCAAGTGATGTCAGTGGCTCGAGATGTCCTGTAGATAACCAACAGGCTTTGCAAGCTAGTGAGGTCGGAGGGTTGGGGGCAAAGGTCTAAACCACCATCTGCCCCCTGCAGGAAGTGACTCAAGCCTAAACCTGACCCCTAAACTATTATGTGGTATTGTGTATCTCTATCTCTGTCTCTGTGTCTGATAAACCATTCGGTTCTTTGTCTGCCAAATGAGTAAATGCTGTATTGTCCTCCTTAGCCATTAGCAAATGACTGTGGGAACTGCCAGCTTACACTACAAGGGAGGACTAAGATGAATGGGGAAAGAGTCCAATATTTCAACAATTGAGATTATATACAGTACAATATCTATGGTATAGTACTTTGGATGTAGTAACACTGGTACAATCTGAAGTGCAGTCAAATGTTTGGACTGATGAATGAAAGGAATTTATTACAGCTGCACTGATGAGTTCTTTTATATTAATAGTGTGTAACAGAATGACTATATATGATGCTCTTTTTGTTTGTTTGTTCTTTTGGCCTGCAGCTCCACTGTTTTGGATCACTCTCACTGTAAATGT